GCTTCTGATTCAATATTCCATAAGCAGGAGCCTCATGGTCAGGCTTTTCTAGGATTTCTTCCTTTTCCAATTCCAGTAAGTAGAAAGAGGTTGACTCATCATTTTTTTTCTTTTGAATATATCTATTTGTATATCTAAAGGCAGGTAGATAATTAGATAGATAGACAAGAGAGAGAAAAGGAAAGAATTTTGAAGATAATGCAGGAGTAAAAGTAAGAAAAAGATACCACTTTTAACCTAATGTAAATTCAAAAGAAAGAGGGCATGCAAATAAATGAAATACAACTTGTTTAAGAAAGTTACACGAATATAGACTCAGTTGGTGTGACACTAATTTAAGCAAGGGCTTTATATATATTTTTATATAAAGCTCAGATATTTCAATAAGAATTTAAAAGTTTAAACCTGCTTTACTACCTGTCAAGAGTCATATGGTGCCAAATTTAACTTGGGTATATCAGGCACAGCGCTGAGATGCTTAATGCAGTGACAAATTCATTATGTTCTCATTGAATTCTGGCCACTCTATTCAAGCAGCTAGCCATGATTTGCAGGGATGTTATTCAGATCCGTGAAACAAAGAAGCTTCTTCATGAAGTGAGCTGATACTTTGGTTTGTATATTATTTCTCTTCTAGGATATTAAAAGTTTTGCTGTTGTCAGAACCTAAGTTGCATGCACTAAAATGGCTTGTTTGACAAATAACTTCTTGATGCAGAAGAGGCAAAATAAAAACACTTTGAAGCAGTACTGATCCTTGTTGAAATAATTTATACAGCAATAAAAGGATGTGGCTTACTTAATTTCTCCCATTATTTCACGCCAGCATTATTATTCCAAGTCTTAACGGTGGTTTCAGCACTGCTGCAATATCCTATGGTGCCACCAACTTTGCTTTCAATACACGCAATAGTGACTTCCATTGGATGTTTTGAATTGCACAACTCTTTTTTGGAGACCTGTTTTTACTGGAGGAAAAGAAAGGAGCAGAGATGAAAAGAACATGAAATGCTGCTGTTTAAACCTTTTGCTATAGCTGAGGAGGCTCGTTTTCTATTTATATATTTTTACAGCTGGATATGGACCAGGGAGGAGGAGTTTAAATTCTAAGCTTCAGAAACTTTTAATTATCATTTGGTGGGGGTTTGAAAAGGTTCGTGATAACAAGACGTCTTGGTATTCTTAATTGGTGATGATGAGATCAATGATGAGAGTTTAGTATTTCATGACATAACTGGGGATTCTTATATTTGTTTTCAATGTCAGGTGGACCTTAAACGTTTTAGGCAGTTATCTGAGAACAGGGTTTCAAGGAGCCAGAATTTTGAAGTCAATAGTATTGCTTTGCTTTTGTTTCTTCCATTAAAATTGTTATTCTTTTCATTTGGATTACTTGCAGGTCCATTGACTGGTGATTTTGCTGACCATTGTGACATATTTTCTTTAAGCATGCATTTATGATATCATGCAGCTGCTCTTGTAGCAATTCTTTACTGTTCCAAAATCTAAGACCTTTCATCTGTTAGATTGAAAGGATGATCTATGGAAGAAAAGTCACTGACCAAGTACAAGTTGAGATGGCGAAACTAATCCTAAATGTAATTTTGGTTCTTTCATTTGAAGCAATCACCATCTACTCTTGTTAATTGTTTTTTAATTAATAAGAGCTCATATTTGATTGTCCAATTCCACTGATAATGCTGCAAATATTCACTTTTTGGTTTAGGATCATGAAACATCTCTCCTTTTGGTACTTGCTAAACTTTCTTATGTGTCAAATGATGGTGAGTCTCATTTCTCTTTGAAGTTAACTGGATTCTTTTTTGGTTGACTTACCTGCATCTTAAGCATATGTATGCATGTTCTGTTTTCAGATGATTCCCGTGGAGAGGTTCGTGAAAATAAACTACAAATAGTGACACAGAGCAGCTTCCATCGGCAGGCTGGCAGGTTAGATAAGTATCCTACTGAGAGTTATACCCCAAAGAAAAGCTATCCTCTGAAGAGTTATGATCCAACCCAGCCAGTCAAGCCGAAAGTCCCTCGCCCATGATGCTCTGTATTTGGGGGATTCTCGTTTGCAGTCATTCTTGTTAACCTCGATAGAATAGCTGTAAATATAACACTAATGATAGATTTAATGTCAAGAGTTAATACAGATACGTTAATCATAGTATGATCCTTTCTTAGATTTTTCTTTCGAGCGTTGGAGCTTCCTGCGTCTCTGGGTTTGAGCTTTACATGCTAGTTTTGGATGGATCTCATGACATTGGGTCAACCATGCAGTGGTTGGAAGTTGGACTGGAGTTGTAATGCTGCAATCTTTGTTGTACTCGACCTGTATTGAGCTGAATTACTGCTGACCTTTTCTCCTATGAGAAAAATAATTGTATGAAGGTCTTTCATAACTTTAAGTTTACAAAAAGAACTTAAAAGATGGAGATGATATTTTCTTTATTTATTTTTTTCCAATCCCCTGGCCTCCTTAAACTATATATAGCAAAAGTTTAATATTGTACCTCGATTTTAACAAATAAATAAACAAAATTTAAGTTTAGGTTGCAATTGCCCTCTATTGGGTTTTCACTTTATTTACCCTTAGGTAAATGTTTGTATCTGTACCTTTTATTTGATTCTATTTATGATATTAATCTTGCAAAACTTTTTGAACCCACATTATGACAAAAGTAATGGAAGCTTGAAGAGGAAATGTTGGGCAAGTTCTAGACCCTAAGATTAAGGGTTGCAATGCAAAATTTGGTACCAAGATGCACATAGATGCCTAACCCTTTGTACCAAGAAAATTAATCAATTTTGGTAGATGTCAAGAGATGCAGCCAAAGCCCGAAGGTGATAGATTTTCCTTTGAGATTTCTTTCTTGCGAATGGTGAATTATGAAAAACATGTAACGCCAAGTAAAAGATAAATGATTACTTTGTACTAGGAATAGTTTCATGTCACACACAAAAAAAATTAAATCTACAAATCCCACACATGAAAGAGATTTAGAATATATTTTTAACTAGAGAAATTTTTTCATTGAGCAAACTGGTTAAATGCCCCAAAACTTGTGTTCCATTTGGCCCCATGTTAATGAAATCATTACCACATTCTCTCTACAAGTTTGTTGAATCCCAGGAAAATTCCTCATGTACAATTGGGGTCTCTTTCCGCTGCCATCACAGAAATCTATGATACGTGTAGCACAAGCAAAGGCTGGTACAACCCCTCGAATTCCGATGACGCAATCAGGAACATATACTAAACAGCCGATGTTTTTATCAAGTTTTCATCGATTGAAATGATATTGTTTTGACAATGGCATCTGAAGATATTCAATGCTCTCTTCTTTCACTTTTCTACTTGCCACTGGGAAATTTCCTTGCCTTTGTACGTATTAGAGGTACAAACATGAAGTGGTTCTGACTTTGTAATCAAAAAACACGCAAAGGTTGCCATTCCAGATTAAAGCAATGCACAGAAATCCATTGAACTCCACTAGTCTATTGAGGAAACCGAAACAATCAACAGAAAAATAGACATCTTTTCTGCCATTCTCCGATTCTTCAAAACAGAAATGAGATGGTGCTGATAGGCACTCGAAAACATGTGTAAAACCAAGCTAAAATCCAGGCCTATCCCGATAGCCTAATTAATTGTGCATGGATTTTTTCCATAATATTACTGCTGAAATTAAAGCACAGATCGATTCTGTCCAATCCTTGCAAATTGATGTGATTTATTCCCTAACATGTATTTGAGATTTTTTTTTTGGTAGAACTTGCCATTCTGTACTTTTGTATAGTTAGAAGCTTTATTAACAATACCAAGTTATATACCTCATCCATCCCTCTATTATGTTGTAAACTGGAAATTTGTACCATATTTGGTGAGAAAATGAAACAATTCTGTTCATTATTCACTGCTGTTGTCTTGTTACTTGAATAAAATTTGCTTTCTGAATAATATCCCCCTCCTCCATTATAACAAAGCCTAAAAGAAAACTTATCATTGCCCGCCAGAAATTAACTCTCAAAAACCATGAACCTGATTACTTCTCAATATCTACACCCTTAACGTCCCCTCTACAAGCTTCTGTGAACTGTGAATGGCAACTCCAACTTCCCTGTTTCTTCCCAAGAGACTCCCTCTGTTCCTTAACATATCCTTTCTGTTCCTCCTTTTTTTCTTTATTGAAACTTATGATTCTCTTGGCGAATCCAATAATGGGCAAATTCCCATCATCACTAACCACTCTTTGATCCCCCATGGAAGCAACAGTGATGGCTGCGCCAGCCTCCATGACTACACTGATTATAAGACTAGGTGCTTGTATGTCAAGTCAGAAATTGGCTGCAGGCCTAAAGGGTACATAAACTATCTCCAGATTTTTTATTGCACTTGTGGCAGATTTCCAATTCTTGGTCATCTTGTACTCCTAATATGGCTGTTTGTCTTGTTCTATTTGCTCGGTGACACAGCTGCAAATTACTTCTGTACTTCCTTAGAGAGCTTGTCCACAATGCTAAAGCTTTCCCCTGCTATCGCCGGAGTCACCCTCCTTTCACTTGGGAATGGTGCTTCTGATGTTTTTGCCAGTATTGTTTCCTTCACAGGATCTGGTAATGGAGGTGTTGGTCTAAACAGTGTCTTAGGTGGAGCCTTTTTCGTGTCTAGTGCTGTGGTTGGTGTAATTAGTATATTGATTAACCGTCATCGGATTTCAGTTGATGAGCCCAGCTTCATTAGAGATATCCTCTTCTTCCTTTTTTCACTTTCTTCCCTCATGTTCATCATTTTTATTGGTCAAATTACTTTGTGGGGAGCTCTTTCTTTTGTTTCTATATACTTCTTGTATGTTGGTGCTGTTTCTGCCTCACATTTCTTCAACAAAAAGAAAGACAGGAAATTGAACTTAATCCCAGAGTCTTCTGTTTCAAACAGCCATGATAACTTTGGAGAGGCTGGTATACCATTACTTGGTTATGCTAGTGATGAAAAATCTATTATGGTGGATAAAGAAACTCTTGAAAATCAGGACGAAAATCCAAAGTTTTTCAACTTTGATTCACCTAGTTTTTATTACTTTGGTAAGTTTCTGTACCTTTTGGAGTTACCTTTATACTTGCCAAGGAGATTGACCATCCCTGTTATTAATGAGGAGAAATGGTCCAAGCCATATGCAGTGATTTCAGTAACATTGGCGCCACTAATGTTGGCAGAGCTTTGCAATTCTCAAAGTGAGAAAAACATGGGTTCCAAAAGCAGCTTGGTGACCTATATGATTGCAGGATTGGTTGGAATGGTCTTTGGAAATCTTGCATTTGTGACTACCAAGAAGTCTAGCCCACCAAAGAGGTGCCAGTTACCTTGGCTTATTGGAGGATTCCTTATGAGTGTAACCTGGACATATTTTACTGCTGAGGAACTGGTATCTTTGTTGGTTTCTTTTGGAAATATCTTGGGAATAAGTCCTTCAGTTCTGGGTCTCACTGTCCTTGCCTGGGGCAACTCACTTGGAGACTTAATATCTAATTCTGCTATGGCAATTAATGGTGGGGCAGATGGGGCTCAAACTGCCATCTCTGGTTGCTATGCTGGGCCCATGTTCAACACATTGGTGGGCCTGGGGGTGTCTTTCGTTTGGTCGTCATGGTCAGAGTATCCTTCTTCATTTGAGATTCCTAGAGACCCTTCTCTTTATGAGACCCTGGGATTTCTTATGGTAGGCTTGCTTTGGGCCCTAGTAATATTGCCAAGGAAGAATATGAGATTGGATAGGTTTCTAGGAGGTGGCCTCTTGGCCATTTACTTCTGCTTTCTGTCTCTGAGACTAGCCAGAGCTCTTGGTCTATCGAAACTTCATGGGGGTTTCTCTTATCATAGCCTAAAATGGTGGTTTTCTTAATTGTAATTTTTTAAAAGATACATATAGCAGTAAACTAGCATATATAAGTACATGTATTATATGAATCAACAAGCAAAGCTGCCTGCCGCTTTCATTTTTTTTTTTTGGTTCATGGTTCATAAGTAAGAGTAGGTACTGAATTATGGACATTGGTTTTCTGTGATCTTACTCTACTATTTCACTTTCTTATTTTCAACCACAAGAACATAATCAGGATCCATTAACTGCCATAGAGATTTGTCAATTCTGTGGTTTTGATGAACTTTATAGTGAAATTTGGGAGTAAGATCCTACCTTACTGTCGCATCTTTTCCCTTTTCCAGCTTAAGCATGTATATGCCATATGAAGTAAGCTCTCTCTCTCTCTCCTTCCTTTTTCTTTGTTTAGTTTCAAAACAAGATGACTACTACTATCATGTGATTCATCCACACATTATTAGCAGCTATTAATCTGATGGGAGTTGAGACTTTGGTAGATTGTTGAGCATTTTGTGATCCCACTAAGAAAATTGTTCCTTTAATTCTCAGCCTCAAATGTGATTGTCAAAAGTTCACATTCATGTTTTAACAGTTAAGATAACAAATTTAATTAGAAATCCAATCTATAGGTAAGCCTTCACATTCCCTTGCCTATGCTTTTGCTACAAAAATGTCTTTTAACTTCTTTATCACACTTAAATTTTTAGAATAAAAACACAGCTAGACTTTTTTATGCAAATAACCAAAAAAAAAATGTCCTAAAATTAAAGTTGGGCAACTCTTCTTTCATCAGGAAAAACTTTTAGCTAACCAGAACTGTGCAGACACCTAATTTGACTCTGGATTTAACTCATACCCTTGATTTGAGAAAAGGACAATAACCCTAAATGCCAAGCAACCAAACAACTCTAGGACATTGACACATGACCACATGACAACATCCAACATCGATGGTTATCTTGTGAAAGTTGCAGCCTAGCTAGCCATATGCATGAACTCTCCACAAAAATGTTTTACTTGTGTCCTTGAGGCTTGAAGGTTGCAGCCGATAATATCCACTTGGACCACTCGTTTGTAATATATTGGTTGAAGCACTGCGGTCCTATCAAAGGAACTAGCAATTATGAAATTATGCTTGACATTTCACCCAACGATTTTAAAAGTATATTTTTTAATATGGACTTGATGTATTTAAAATTTTATTTTTGAAAAAATTTTCATAAAGATCAAATCTTGATTAAAAAGAAAAGAATTCTTTTTTTCTTTTGCTAATTAAATTAGCCCCTTTGAGTGAGTGTTATATTATAAGATGACTTGGAAAGCTCTCCGAGCTGAAATTTGGCTTTGCCTGGGCAAAACCTAATAATAATAATAATGGATAAGATTTTGAGATTGGGTAGTTAGTTTCAGCTTGATTGGTCTCAAAAGTCAAGCAAGCAGAGGTAGAGCCTCCTTATGCGATGTGGGGCCATGAATTTTTTAAAATTTTTTATATTATCCAAAATTTTTAAATTATTTTATAATTTCTTTTAGTCTTTTTAAAATAATTTTTTATTTAATAATTAATATAAATAAATAATAATAAAATAATTTCATATGTTTAACTTAATTTTAAATTTTTTTATTTTTAATTTATATTATTATTATTATTTTTTATTTATTCATATGTTTTAAATCTTTATAGATTTTCTTTTATAAATTTTTACAAATCATTAATTATATGTTTTTTATTTTTTATTATGTCATTTGTGAGTTTTATCTTTTATTTTTCATGTTTTTTTCTATTTTGTGGATTTTATTTTTTATAATTTTAATATTTAAAAATTAATAAATTATTATATAATTCTCAAATGTAAATTATAATGTTGCACTATTGCTAAGAATTTCATCAATGTATCAATTTTTATTTAGAATAATTAGTACGTTCGGACATATATGTTATAAATTTTAAGTAACAAAAATATACATATAAATTGACAGAATAAAATAATTGTGCCTCTTTTAATATAATTTTATTTATTATATATATTTTTAATGACTCCTAAAATAATTTTTTATTTAATAATTATTTTTATTCTTCAAATCAATTGATAAAATTAGAGTAATTATAGTCAACGTATTACTAGTTAAGCCCAATAAATAAATTCTAACTTAATATATTAAGCTTATCAAATTTTTAAAAAAATAAAAGAGAATTTACTCATTCAAGCCTACTAAATTTTTATAAAAATTTAAGCATATCATAATATATAATATTTTAACAGTCCAACCTAATAACTTATCATAATATATTATACATTAATAATTCATTCCAATAACCAAATTTGTTAATTAGTAATTTAAGAAGTAAATAGAAAGTAAGAGATGAGCTTTCTCATAAAACTACCTATTTTGTATAGAGCACACAAAGTAAAGAGACAATTTATTTAAATTTAAAATTTTATTTTCTCTTTTACTTGTGCGCACAGAGAGTGAAAGAGATCCCTTTTATAATTCTATTCAGTCATTTATATATATATATATATATATATTACCACCCTTACTATTAATGTGTATTTTTTTTATATATCTAATATCTTTTGAATTTTATTTAATTTTTTAAATGAATAAAAATTAAATTATATATAAAATTACTGTTTAATGTCATATCTATTTAACCTCCTTTTTAAAAATACTCTAATTACGTCCTGCAAGCAAACTTGGCTTGTTTCATGTTTTCTACTGCTAGGTGTGTATGCCCAAAGAGACCTGGCACAGGAAAGTATCTTAAGCAGTGGTCTAATCAAATTGGGATGGTATAATTATATTTCATTTATTTTGATTTGTCACCTTAGTGACAAAATATGTGGAAGGGGATGTTTTCCATACAAGACATATATTTCCAATTTCTAATTATATTACCTTTTCTAGAGTTTGAAGGAAATTTCTTATATTACTTAGATAAGAAAAGTTTTAAATATAAATTTCAATGTGTATATTCTTCAATTCCAAAAATATAACAGCTAACACACAAAAAAAATCAATAATGCATATATTGTAATTTACAATGCATATGCTATTAAAATCAAACAAATCAATGCTCAGCTTGAGCTCCAAGTGATCAATTATTAACAAATAGTAAAATTAAACCAAGCTTGAGCATAGAAATGATTAGCTTGATTTGATTCATTTTACAACCCTACTTTAAAAATGATGTATTGAAGTTTATAGAAAAATAAAGAATTACATCATATATTGCAACTTGAAATCGATTAGATGTTTTTTTTAATAGGAATGTTTCAATAAGTTTCTATTCTAATTTAGGAAATTGAAAATCAAATTTTACTTTTATGTCAAGTATAGATTTCATATGATTTCACCCCTTACAAGTTAATGAATTTATTAAGTTTTTCTATTTTTACTTGATATGATTTGATCTTTCAAACTTTCCCTACTATTAACCCATGAAAATATTCTCTATTTATTGATCATAATATAGTGTTAATGTAATTGCTTCTATGTGGGTTAACATGGACAATGAAATTAGCAATATCGAAGAAACACCATTTTCTGCTCTTCAAGTTAACGAGTTATTTTTGCGTAAAATTCTTGCAGGGAACAATTCTTCCATGGATCAGTCAGTAGCTATTCCTTACCGGCGGAGCGTTGGCACAGTTCCTTTCCAGTGGGAGTCACGGCCAGGAACCCCTAGACATCATCTTGTACCAAGGAAAGAGATTGTCCCTCCGGTTAGGCCACCGCCGGCTTCGTCGACATGGAACAGCCAAGAGTTTGATGAGCATTGCATCAACATGTCAAGACAAACAAGAGCAGGCTTTTGGAAGAAATCCAAGAAAAATTATCAAGGTAAAAAAAAGGCTAAAGGAAACATTGATGAGTTCGGTTGCTATATGATTTCATCATCTAGTACAAATTCAAGGTCTTCATCATCAACTTCTTCCAAAGGGACTTCATCAAGATTACGTAGTTTGGCCAAGGTATTGGTTAAATGGGCTAATTTCTAATGTTTTTTTTTCTTTTTTTTAATCTTTTTTCGCTTTGGCTACTCGATGGACCAAACCTTTTCGTTCTGGATCGATATTTTATTTCAGGGCAAGTTAATTTGATGTTATATTATAAGGTGTTAAGGGTAGATTTTGCTTTTCTTTCTCGAGAAAGTTCAAGAGGAAGAGACAATGCAAGTCATCATCGCTGTTCAATTCAATTATATATATATATAAATTTGTTATCAAGGCAAGTTTCGAGGACTGAGCTGGCATTTCACTTTGTAAACTTGACTTGACAGACCCAAATGAGCATGAATGAAACTAACTAATCAAAGTGGGGTCATTATATTTTGCACAGTGCCTAAAAATTGTGGCGAAGGAAAAATTGACATTGATGTTCCTACTTCAAATGGATCATATTGCGTTGAAATCTCAGTTGAATGGGAAGAAGAAAACATTTTTTGTTTTTGTGGATTGTTGTTTCCTTACCTATCCTGTCAACATCTGTTTCCTGCTTTCCTTTACATGTTGACAAAAGATTTTGGAGCTTTGCACCGTGGTTCCATCTTAACCTGGAGCTATTCTTTCACCGTGTTTCTTTCAAAGGTTTCTGATATCAAGACCCAGAGATACCTTGAAGGTAGTGAAATATGGACAAGAGCTCTATTGGGGAGCATGACCTTGCAGGGTCTAGTTCTAGTCTAGGCTTAAGAAATCAAACCAAATCAAATATTTGATCAAAGTTTGAGTCTCAAATGTAGAATTAACCCCTTTTACTATTTTTTGGATTTTTTCCCCTTTCTGATGCAAGTGGAAAATGCTATGGCCCATCCTTGACTCCTAACCTTTGCTTTTTCCTAACTATTTGAACTCATAAGATCAAGTGACTTTGCCTAGGAGTGCTATTTTTAATTAATTGGCCAGTTAACAGGTAGGCAATGAACTCTAGTCTCCTTGGGGCGTCCCCTAAAGAAATAATTGTTAACTGGTAGGTAAATTCATCAGACTAGAGCTACTTTATCTAGCTTTCAATGGCAGCACCTTCAATACCGTACCTGTATGTATAATTGTACAAAAGTACAATCATTGGCCCCGTCTTACTCCAACAAAATAATTGAAAAATGTTGGAATGAGGTCATGTACCGGAAGATTGAATTGAATTGCATTCGAAGGGATAAAATTTAAGATTCCAATCTTCTCTCTGCTTTGAACTTCTGCGTATGTAAAAAAAGAGTTCCATTTTGGATGTCTATTTTCTGCTTGTATACGGGTTAATATCTTCTGATGTAGATGACAGCCATAAAAACTGACAACACCCATCAAAACTTAAGCTTCACCACCTGATTCTATTGCCATATTTTCGACCAAAAAGTCCTGCAAAATTTCAAGCTTCAACTATCTTTTTCCTCTGAATTTTCTGCAAACCATAGTTTCTGTCAGATCGAGTGTAAGTTAGGGCTAGCTAACATATCTGTTGGAGAACATTGACGGTACATATTCTGGATTCCCAATAATGGTTTTGAAAGAATTGTGATTTCATTGCTGCGTTGAAAACAGAACAACGTGTACATACCATTCAATGAAAATTCAATCAGTAAATTAGTGGTTACTATATACAGGAAGGATATATAAAACAATTGATTGCATCTCGACATATAAACAGTTACATAGTTTTCAAGTGACCGTCATGAACTGACTAGGTAGCTGTGTGAAGTTGGAGGGGTCCAACTACTTGAATCAGCCTTAAAGAGATAGAAGTCAAGTAGATCAGAAAAAGCCCTCCTCCCAGGACCCCATCAAGCCTCATATCTCTCATTGGCAGAACCAAAAGTGCCCATAGCAAGGCAGCAACTTGAAAACCCAAAGTTTCCAGGAGGTAAGGATCTTTAGGGATCTGAACAGGTGAAGGGTATCCCAACCAGGCAGAGCCGATCAGAGACATGCCCAAACCAAACAGTGTGTTGAAGATAGGGCCAGCATAACAGCCTGATATAGCCACTTGTGCCCCTGTGGGACCACCATTCAATGCCATTGTCAAGTTGGCGATTAGATCTCCAAGGGAGTTGCCCCAAGCAAGGACAGTCAACCCTAGGATAGACTGACTGATTCCAGTTAAGTACCCAATAGAAATCAATAAGCCAACCAATTCTTGAGCTATGATGTAACTCCAGATCACACTCATTATGAACCCTCCAGCTAGCCATGGGAACAAGCATTTCTTTGGTGGGCTGGAATTTTCAGTTGTCAAATATGCAAGAACCCCAAAAGTGATTCCAAACAGGAACCCAATTCCATAGACCAGCAGGCTTGTATTAAAGCTGAGATTGTTATCTTGAAGGTCCCAAAGTACAGATATGAGAATTGGTGCCAATGCCACTGAAACAACTGCTACTGGCTTAGACCATCTCTCTTCACAGGCAATAGGAATTGTCAATCTCCTAGGTAAATAAAGGGGCATCTGAAGGATAAATAGCAACATACTGCAAGGAGCTGATAGTCTTAAACAAAAGCAACGGTTCTTGAATCCTACCCCGTTATTATCTTCCAGATTCCCTTCCTCTAAACAATCAAGCTCTACTTTCTCAATCCCAGTCAAAAGCGGTATGCTGAAGCCACTATTATAACTTGAATCGGAAGCTATGTTTCCCATGCCACCAGAATTCCAAAAAATATATATGATGTAAACAATGATAACATAAAGAATATACATTGAAGAAAAGGCCATTGCTCCCCAAAGATTGATTTTCCCATAAACCAATATCAAACATAAGGATGCAAGAACCAGGAGGAGGCAGCAAACATCTCTTACAAAGGCAGGTTTGTTAACCTGAACTCGTTTCCGGTGCGTTAAAGTGCTTATTGCTCCGACCACAACAGAAGTTACAAAGAAAGCACCACCCAGCACCGTATTTAGGCCAACATCCTCTGTTCCACTATCCATGAACGAGGCTATGCTGGAAAACACATCCGGGGCACCATTGCCCAGAGACAAGAGTGTAACACCAGCAAGTGTAGGGGACAATTTTAACAGGCTTGATAAGCTTTCAAGAGAATAACAAAAGTAATCAGAGGCGGTGTTTCCCAAGAGATAAAACAACACAAGGAGCCAAAGGACAAGAAGGCAATGGCCCAACAAGGGAAATCTTCCCAAATTGCAATAAAAAAGGTAAAGATAATCAACATAGCCTTGAGAGACACATGGGTTATTGGACTTAAGGTAAGAGCACTTGGCTTTGTAATCATCCAACTTCTCCAGTAACTTGCAATCTTGCTGATTATCACCGATGGAATTATAACCGCTTAGAACAAGAATTCCTGAAGGCCTGAAACATATCATCAAGAAAACGCATGCCACCAAGAGAAATGAAATGTTCAAGAAAATGATGTACCTCTTGCTCTTGTGTTCAGATATAGAAACCAAAGTACCCATCCCACAAACTCAAACCAAAAACTTCTTCCAGGCACAAAAAAAAAAAAAAAAGAAGAAAGATCGTACTAAATCATGACTAAAGCAAACTTGGATTGTGGCAATCACAGGCTATAAGATTAAGCCAGGATCAAACACTTTTCTTCTATGAGCTAAACTTGGAAGAGAGAAGTAAAAGCAAGACAGGAGCTAACCTTTGCACGTGGTGTAAAAGTAGTTCTCTCAGGACTATTTCGTTGTTCTCAGCTGGTGCAGGGTAACCACAGTTTGTAGAGTTCTACAATGTGGGAGGAAATTTAGTCTTACAGGAGGTGGGTGGTGACCTGGCTAAGGGTGCATAATTGCTGACATTTGTGTCATAGTTGCACCAATACCATCCAGAGGAAAAGAACGGATACAGAGCCAAAGCAAATGATACACGTGGCAGTCGGTTTAAGACTGTAGTGTCCCGTTTTCATTGATTGATGTAGGTTGAAAAAATAAATAAATGACGTATATTCTTCCAAAGCAAACGCGGAAAGCAAGCCGAAAGAGATTGAAATGTAGGACCGTGTTGGGATGGACACATTTGCCTATGCAAAGGAGAACACATGTGAATTTGAGAAACGAGGTACACGGTTAATTCATGGACTTGATAAACATATAATAAGAAAAAAGATTGCTTCAATTAAAAATCACAAACCCTTTTGCAAAGTGGAAAAAGAAAATACTAAAAAATAAAAAAGGGTTATAGTTAGGTTTGAGAGTCGGCAATCGTAGCGGTGGAACAAGGAGCACCGCAAATGTCAGCTTCTTTGTGGAAGAAAGTGTGAAAGAAGCCAAGAAATCATTATAGATAAAGTGGAAGGCCATAGGGAGAGGTGGGGTTTGGCCCTTAATAAAAGATTCTCGTCTATTCCCCCTCTCGTCTTCGGTGTGTGGTAGTGTCAATGCTATCAACCAAGAAAACAAAGGCCATTGTATTGTATTATTTAGCTTCTCACCTTATCCTCAAGCCTTTAAAGTTGACAACATGAAATTGAAATAGTACATCAAAAGGATGGCGGTAGTGAATTGCTGGTAAGATTACTAAATCATATAATATATAACAACATGATGATGATGATGATGATATATATATATATATATATATATGTTGATATGTTCAAAGGATACCCATTACCCTAAGGAATTGCAACTCTTGTTGCACAATACAGGCTTGGTAACAAAAATAAGAAGGTTGTAGCAACAAAAAAAGAGGACTTCTTAGTGATTAAGAAGGAATAATATTGTTTCTAATTGAGTGATTTTATTTGGGATTATTGTCTCCTATGAAAGACATATGAATTGCTTTGCTTCTTTGCCGCTCCACAATCCAAACTCTACCAAAGCTTTGTCTTTTATTAGACATTTTTGTATGCATGACGTTTTCAATATTTTGTTTCCTTTAGCCATCAATCTTCAAACTTTATCCTAAATTGGGGTCTACATATCTATAAAGTTTGAACCAAAAAGTTTTAGGTTAGATGCTCGAATTAAGATTAAAAGTTTGAACATTTTTTTATTAAACGTTAAATATTTTAATTATAATAATTAATGATTAAATATTTTTAATTTTTTATAATTAAAGATTAAGATAGAAAATGTCTAGCTCATGTGTAGGACACGCACATAACTTCAATTTAATAAAAATGATATTACAGTTGAAAATTTTGATCTTAAATTAAAAAAAATGTGAAAACTTTGACTTCAAATTGAACATTTAATCAAAGCTTTAACCCCAAACTTACTCTATAAGAGAAGATTAACAAGTGTGAAAATCATGTTTGACTTCAATTTCCCAAAAAAGAAAAAAAGGTAATTCACCTATAACTTGAAAATTAATGAATTATGTTACATTACTCAACCTTTTTCAATTCTAGATGAGTCCGACTCTCTTGTTACTTTATACTTGTCTACTACACGTCAGTCATTTTAAAATATTTGTTATTTTTAATTTCTTTACGAAATTCATATATAATATTTATTAAGATATTATAAACTTATATAAATTATACCGAAAAGAAGAATATGTTTCGCAATATATCACAATCAAATTAAAGGTCGTGCCAAGAGCATTAAAAAGTGAAGTTAATTTTGGGCCTACGATGAGTATAAATATACTATATATATATATATATATAGCTGAGAAAAAGCTAAAAGATTACTTTCCTAACTATATAATATCCATTTTTCCGACCTCTCATCCTCTTGCTTTTCTACAATTTTTTTTTTTTGTAATTTTAGCTTGTATAGGCCCATGATAATTTAACCAGTCATTATATTTCCCATACAGGCCTGAAGGCCCAAGATCAGCCCACTTCTTGATTTTTTTGGGCCATGCCCCATTATCACAACGCTTACAATTGGAATGGTCCGATAACCCGACTTCCTTTCCCACCAAGCATCGTTAACAACGAGAGGTACAAAATACAACAGACACTTAAAAAAAACCTAAAAAAAAAAAAGAAAAGAAAAATTCGCCAATTCTTCGATTTCTTCGAAGCTACCTCTTATTGATTTCGAATTTACTTCAACACCCTTTTCTCCAATTCCCAGGTTTTAATCGAAGGAACTCGCTTTTTGTTTTGTTCTTTTAATTTTGAATTTTGGGATGGAATGGAGTCTACCATGAAAATTTCGTCGTCAATTATATTTCCCATAAATTCAACACCAAAATTGAATAATTATAACAAAGTTTCGTATGGGTTCCGATACAACGGGAGCAACTTCATCTTTAAAATCGGCGCCGTTTATTCCAATGGCTCTGTTTCTTCCTCTGCTTCTCATGGGGTTAGTTCCATTTCTTTCCTTTTCCCTTTTTTTTTCTTATAAATCTTATGTATATTTATATTTAATCTCTGATGGGCTCTCTAAATTTTGTTAACTGTAAATTTACAGAATGAAAAAGGAAGGTTTTTTATTATTTTAAGTTCGATAAATTTGTGTTCGTTCAATTACATTTTGATATTTCCTTTTGGAAAAATGATAATATATGTGAATTTCTTTGTATTTTTCCTTGTTGGGTTTCTTGTGATTTGATTTAATCCAACTTGTTAATATGTTGAACTTCCAATTTATCCATTTTTACACATTGAGCTGTAAGAAATGTAATTGTTCCAAAAAGAAGAAAAATAAATGCTTTAAGAAATGTAATGTGTGCTCTTCCATTCAATCGTCATTAACCTTAGATAATACTCATTATAGCGAATTTTAGTCTAATTAACATGTTTGCCAGCCAAAAGTACGTAAACTTAGGTGTAGTTTGGATCTTGCTTTTGCTACTTGCTTGCCACTCGTGTCCAGAGTAAACAGTCGAAAGTGCAATTTCAATACAAAAGCAAACAATATTTTAAACAGTTAAAGAATTTCGAGAACAAAATGCATGATTTTACTTTTGTATAGAACAAGTACGATAGAATTGGTTTTAAATTTTATTTTTTCTGTCATTTATAATCAATTGTGGATTTGCTTTCTACCATTTGCTGTTGCATTTTAGAAACTATTTATGAAAAATAAAATGGAAATAGCAAAAAGCAAGTAGCAAAAGTGACAATACGACAATGCCTTAAAATTCTGGAAAGCTTTGTTAATTTTTTTTTTTTATCACAGTGCTTCCTTTTGGTTTATTTATGTTTATTGTAAGATGGATTTCCTAATTACTTTGTTTATGCCTGTTAGTAATGTAATCATTTTTGCTTTCAGTTCCTGTACTTTTACAGTAATTGTGCTGTAGAGTAACAAGAGTTTCATCCTTGTACGCAATTGTTTGACTATGTCTAATTTACCTCCAAAAATTCAGTCAGTTATGGTTGATGTAACAGAAATGGTAAATTCGGATGTTGCAGGCTGAGTCAAGGGCAGTGGGAGATGCACACAGACGAAGAAGCAGTCTTGAATCTCTATTTTGTTACGATAAACCTATCCCAGAGGAACGAATTGAAGAACCAGTTGGGTTATCTTTGGCTGAAAAAATAGTTGGAGATAATCTTCGTTGCACTGATTGTCAGGCCAAGGGGGCTGTCCTTTGTACCACTTGCTCTGGTTCTGGATTGTACGTGGACTCAATATTGGAGAGCCAGGGCATCATTGTCAAAGTCCGCTGCCTAGGTAAAATTAACTCCTTTTCAATGATTTTTTGTTTGTAAATGGATGCACATGTTCATGGATGTTCATGCAGTTAATATTCAGCATCTGTTATGTCAAGTCTTATTTCATATTGCTGTAGAAGCAACTATTGTCAATCCCAAAAGTCTGATTCTGCATGTTAGGCATATGGAATTCTAAAAAGGATCCTTAAAACCAGTCTATTCTTTGGAAATTCTTTATTTATGTTGTTCTGGTTGATTCAGGAGGAATAAAACAAAAGGATCTTTTGTGTAATTAAAGAGAATTTTTGAAGCGATTAAAGTAGGGTTATACTTTGATGCTTTTGAGTTAAGTAAAGTTCAACTTATGATGTGAAGCTTCTCATTATAGGTCATTTTGTGCCTGAAGGCTCCCATGCCTTGCTTTTGTGCCATGTAAACCTTGTGAAATAGAAGTTCAGTTCTGCTTAGTGAAATGCATGATAGTGTTTACATTACCAAAATAAACAAGTCAGATCTTCATTTCAGTTGATGCACATGGATTGACTTGACTACACTCCCTATTAATATTGAGAACGCAGTTTTTGTCCCACATCCTCTGTCCAATCACCACAGACATTCATAGAATACAACCTTGTCAACTCCACATGTCATTGCTATCACATTTGTCCCATTGAAGTCCACTTGAGTATTCTTATAATGCATTCACCAGTCATTTTCATCTTGTGTCTCATTTTCTCAAGTAAACTTTGAACAACTTCGATGTGTTCTGAGTTTTTAATAATGTGTTATATCCATATGTGGCCAATATGTTCTAATAGTGTGGTATTTGTTACTGTTCAGGTTGTGGAGGAAGTGGCAATATTATGTGCTCAGAATGCGGTGGCCGAGGTCATCTAGGACCTAAGTAACTTGTGTTTTGCCTCCTTACCTTGGGAAATTTGTTGTAGCCTTCTGTGTAACATCTATACATCAGAATTTCATTCATCTACAAAATTCAATGTCCAATTGTGATAAATTCACGGTAAAAGAAATTGAATTCATGTATTTGACTCATTCAGTGGTGTTTGCCTTATTATTCTAAATTTCCTTTAGTATGCTGATTGATCTGGACATCTGGAGCTGCATTTGCATTTTGGCAAAACTTATTGTTGATTTTTCTCTTTCATGGTACTTGTTCAGTGTTCATCGAACTGCGACATATAACCATAATATAAACGTAGAGCATAAATAATGCCTTTAAAAGGGCAGCAGGGGAAGAAACTATATCCAGTAGGTGGATTCTTCTATTGCATAGAAAATGATCTGTCATCACAGCAATCAGCTTTCTCTATGTTTATAATGAGAAATATTCCATTTGAAATGTAGTCCATTATTTTCAAAGATGCTACAAACTTGCTACTGAAATTGTATGGGAATTTACAGAGAAGAGGTGGAATTCTAGCAACTAAACAGGCTAGCCAAAATTGTAAGATTTACCATAAGATGGGTGTTTTTGCGTCAAAGTTTCTGTAGTCTTGATGATGAATCCTTTACTGAATTGCCCAGGTCCACAGACTGTTAAACTTGATGTCTCTGAAGCTCTTCAATGCGAACTGGGATCGTTGCATCAAACCGAAGGCTTTGTGGGTTCTCGGCATAAGCAACAAAATAAGCTGAAACACATGCTTGTTGCCAGGCCAATGCTATCCGACACTGCCAGACCAAAATGAATGTGCTAGTAAGTTTCATGCTAGGAAATGTTTCTAACTTATCAGACAAGGTTTACTCTCTTACCATGAAATAGCCGATCAAAAAAGCGTAGATAGACACTTCTGTTGCATAGCTCTTGTGAACTATAAGCGCCCATGTTCCTCCGGCTAAGGTGCATATTGAACCGACCGCAAGCCCAGAGAGAAAACAGAACACCCCTGTGAGGTCAGAATCAATCAATGCTATCAGTTCTGCCCTTTTGAACATTTCCCACGTATCAGCTGATGCCTGCACAAAACCTTTATTATATACCCCTACATGAACAAAACCCCAGCGATTCCCATGTTTTATGAGAGTTGAAGCAACTCCTGAGTAACAATTAGCACATGAGAACAAGAACTCGTCTGTGTCCCCTGCTACCAAGTTCATAGCTCTGGCTGAACCCCGAATGGTTCCAAAAACAGGAACAAGGGCTGAGCCTATGCATACACTTCCTACCAAATGCTTGATTGTGTCGCGGAAAGCAATCTGTGTGTTCATGTCGACCCCACAAGCAAAATTCATGTATCTGACGCGTGAGATTGTAACATACAGCAGGTTCTTGATCACTTGCATGCTCCATGTGAAGCTAAGCAAGATAAATATGATGAACAGGATGTCTAGGCCAGTTCCTGTCGCGGTCGCTCCCCCAATTCCGGTCACCAAGAAAGCGGAGTAGATTACACAGATTATGAGGGATAGGCTGACAAATGTAGTAGTTCCATCAGGAGGAAAAGATGTGGAAACTTCGAGGATCTTGGCTGCATATGCAAATCGGGGATTGACCCAACAGGCATAGAGGGATTGGATCACGCCGGAAACTACTGCAATTGTACCTGCTGCTAAACTTACTGGAGAACCAATTAATACATGGAGCACACCAACTGCACATGTAAGCAAGGGACTAACCCAGAAGGCAACTTTGACGGCTTTTGATGGATAGTGATAAGAGATCCATTGCCATACGAAAGAAACAATTCCACCAGAAGCAGTTGAAACAAGAAGCGGAGGGTACCATTTCTTGGGGTGGAAACGATGGGTGTTGCTGGCATTGATGAGTCCACGGATGGTTAAGGCGATTACCAAGATGGAAACTAGGAACAACTGAATGTAGAAAACAATTTGAAAAAGCTTCCTTAGGAATCGTCCCGCCACTGTTGCTTCTATCTTGATGCTTGGTTCTTGTCTCTGCAAGTACCCGTAGGAAGAAAGTTACAGAAATGAAGTAGTAAGAAAAGAAGGACACAGAAACCAGGAAACAGGCAGGCTTCCTTGGCAAGAAAATGAAACAAGGTCAAGATACAAACAAGAATTGATGAAATCTGAAGTGAAACCTTAGGGAAGATAATTATATTTCAGGACAGACGCTTGATGGCCAAGAAAGAAGAAGAAGAAGAAATAAAATAAGCCAAAAAAGGGGCTTGAAAGCGAAAGAATGACAGAGAGAGAGAGAGAGAGACCTGGATAATGCTTGTAGATGGAATTCTTTGTTCTTGAGTCTGCATGTGGAAGTTCTGCATATTGGAGCTCCTAAATCTTCCCACTTGTGATGGCTTCTTAACTCGAAAGGCTAAAAAAAAATAAGTCTTTGTTAAGTTTTAAATTCTTGGTCTTCCCCTTCCTTGGCTGCCACACGATTATGCAAAAACTGCTCAAAATTAAGACTTCACAACTTCAATATATAAATATATAAATATGTATACATATATATATTATTATTATTATCGTACTCTCTTCACTCTCCAAAGAAAAGACTTAACTTGTTCAAGTCTTCTTAACCTAATCATCACTCACGCATTTTCATGAGTTGACTAACGCCTTTTCCTCCCTTTTTCCTAATAAAGATTGCAACTTACTTGATCCAATACTGGTGGATATCGTCAAGTGGGCTTATACATCAACACATAAAGCGTATATTCAGTATGTTCATCGTTCGTTTCATTACTCATCACATCAATTTTATTTATATATTGTATTTGAATCTCACGTGATAAATCATTGTGACATAAATGTATATATCATTTTAAATACCCAAAATGTATCTAAAGCCAATCATTGACAGTGTTTCGGGGCTTGCTTTTGTTCTGGTTATGCTGAGATGGAAGATTGAGCCAAAACCCCTTTGTGTAGTTCTCGTGATGTAGGTGAGTCTTCCCTGGGGCTTTGAGTTCTTTAACCTCTGCTCCTTTTCGGAGCAAACTCAACATGTTTGGTTCAACTACTGACTAATTTTTTGTTCTTATATTGCTTCTCAAGGAACAAAGATATCATAAACCTGTTTTGTTTATACATATATGCACCCCAAAAACCAAAAACACAGAAGCATGTAAAAGTGATATTAAATAAATGCACATTTGACAATTCAAAAGAATAAAATACCACTTTAATCCATACGAATATCCTCTATTCTTTTTCTTTTTTCTTTTCTAATAAAAATTACTTGCATCACGAAGGATATAAAATTTGCATATTCATGTAAGATCTTGTGAGATATAACAAATACTTTATATATGAGGTTTAGATATTATGTTAAAGTCGATTGAGATCTTGAAATCATTAAATTTTAAGTTTCAATTTCATCGTGTGTATATTTAATTTAATTTTATATTAATTTGAGTTTATATAATTTGTTAATCGATTTTTTATATTGGATGTAAATAATATTAATTTTGTTAGAGATGGTCTGATTATGACGTAATTTCAACCTGTAAATGTAATCTCAATAAAAAAAAGATTATATTAAAAAATGGAGTAAGTCAAAAATTAGAAAATGCTAAAGCAATGAGTTCATTAAAGCGGGGGTTACGTCGTATCATCTTCTCCATAACGTCTCAAATTATTATTGGATGTTGATAGAAAAAGCAAAAGGGCAAAAAAGGTGGGAACTATGAGGGAAAAAGGGTCATCCTAATGGAGAAATTGATGATGACTGGTTACCATTCCCAACACGAAATATATAAGCCAAAAAATTGCTGGGGGCATTGTGAGATTAGGTGAGTGGCATATGGGGAAATTGCAGAATAAAACATTCCCCCAACCAATTAAATTCTTAAACGTCTTATGGTATTTCATATTATTAGTGTTTACTACTTTGATCAACACCAATAATAATTTTGTAATTACAAGAGAATATCTCAGCTATTTGATGATGATACTTAAAACATTTTCCTTGTGAAAGGTCAAGAGGGAAGCTTCCTTCCTTCACATTTTCCCCTTTTTGTTTTTACATTATCTTTATCAAATTCGGGTCAAAATTTTCTCCTATTTACACTTGGATAAATTTAACGTTTAAGCTTATTTTATTTGACATTTAATGGCTTGACTTCTCTGTTCTCACACAGATAGAGATGATTTTGTTGTTTTAGGGGCAATTTGGTGTTATCAAAAAACATATATACCTTATTTTTCAACTAACATCTAGTGGGAAAACAAAACCTTTTTGGGTTTTCTTTCCTACCTTAAACCCTAAAAACCTAATTGCCGTAAATGGGTTTTAATTAAAAAATTATAAATTATTTTATTAACCTTTTTTTAAAACCAAAAAATTTACTAATTTAAAATTTGATAAATATAAAAAAGTTGGGATGCGTAGAGTTCTATGTTAATTCGAAGTGAATCCAGTTTTGAGCTAACAGTGAGTTTTGTCTGTAGCGCCGATTTAATAAACAAAATATAGAAAAATAGCTATATAAAATTTAAAAAACATGTATTCGATAGTCACACTTTTATATTGCAAGAAAGAAAAGGGGGGATAAAAGTGATATGGTAATTTACTTCCCATAAACACAATGGTTCATGTGAATGGTAGGGGTGGCCTGGAATTGGTGTGAATCAACCAAATACACGTGATTTAGCATTTTGGGTTATTCATTTCCTCATCGGTGTCATGTTTAAGTTTTCCACCAAAAAGCACAAAAGTGCTTGGAAGAATTGTCGGAAAATATGTACTTCAATTTTATCTCTTTCTTCGGCTTTGATCCTCAGGCCTTTTTAACTCAAATGCAATTGGGCCTCTATCAGGTTATACCACCAGTTCAATGAAGTTGCCCAACTTCAATTGGCACAGTCAAGTTCTCAGGCCTAATCTCCATTTAGCAGAACCCAAACCCACAAGAGAATGAATGTGGAAAAAGAAAAGATGAAGCTTTCTGTAGAATAATATGTTGAATGCTTTTTCTCTTTGGTAAGGATGTTGACAGGTGATCAATTTGTTTTCTGGTTCAGCAGCACCTTCTGATAAAAGGGGTATTTTGATAAAATTCAAAACAATTTTTGGGATTTTCATTCTTTTTTTCAAGTTGAATTCCACAAATACCCTACTAAAGTCCAATCTTTTCCTCCCATAAACCATAGGCAATATAGGAAGTCCATCACCCAACTGGTATTAAAAGTCTTTCCCCACCAATGAATTGATGGAGTGACAGACGGAGGCCTTCCCTTCAAAGTAAGGAACCCTCCAACAAGATCTAATCCACACACTTCCGTAAGCAAACAAGTTACCTTTTCATTATTCCCCCAATCTTACAACAAAGCAATAATAACATCCAGCCAATATTATTAACCATTTTAACCACCCCTCACCTTACAAAGACCACTGCCCTTTCCTCTTTCTCTCTTCCCACCTGTATCTCTAGTTTTTCATTTTTTTCTTCTTATGACAATTTTTGTTTTTCCAACTAAAAATGGGCATCAGAATTTTCATGATTTCCTTCGTGTTAACCTCGATTCTGTTCTCTGTTTTATACATCCCAACTAAACTAAGCATCCCTATTACAAGCTTCAATCCCATGGCGACCTTGAACATTGTGCAAAAATCCAACAGGACATATCCAGTTACATTTGCCTACTTAATCTCAGCATCGAAAGGAGACACTGTCAAGCTAAAACGCGCCATACGGGCCTTATATCACCCTGGAAATCAGTATCTGATTCACCTGGACTACGAGGCGCCTGCCAGGGAGCATAGGGCGATTGCAGAGTTTGTATCCAACGACCCAGTTTTTAGCCTGGTTGGTAATGTTTATATTGTTGGGAAACCAAACTTGGTTACTTATAGAGGTCCGACTATGCTCGCTACAACGCTTCATGCAATGTCAATGCTTTTGAGGTGCTGCAAATGGGATTGGTTCATCAATCTTAGTGCTTCTGACTACCCTTTAGTAACTCAAGATGGTATGGTGAGTGGCCTTGTTTTGATGTTCTTAGTTCTTCAAATTCTGTAACTAACAGTTTTTTTTCTCTCTTTCTTTTTCATATTTCTTGTCATTTTACAGTTTTATGTGAGTTCATGACTTCATTTTTTGGGGGTTTTCAGATCTGATTCATGCCTTTTCAGACCTACCAAAAGATCTCAATTTCATTCAGCATACCAGTCACCTGGGGTGGAAACTGTAAGACACTTTTCTTCAATAATTATTTTGCCCATTGTTTTTGAATTTCAGCAATTTTTTACTCCAATTTTTTATACTTCCACGTTATCTTTTTACCATGACATTTATTCTCTGCAGTTAAAAAAATATCAATTTCACAATAAAATTTTGCAGGAACAAGAGAGGGAAACCTATAATAATAGACCCAGGGCTTTACAGCCTCAACAAGTCAGAAGTCTGGTGGGTTATTAAACAAAGGACTCTGCCCACTGCTTTCAAACTCTACACAGGTTCTTCCCTATGCCTCTTTATTTGATTGTTTCTCCAATGCCTCCTCAAATTTTTCTTTCAATATCTTCCAAAAGAGGAATTCTCTTATCTCTGGCATGTGAGCTCCTGAACAAAGTGAAGTGACATCACATTGAGAAGTACCATAGGACATGCACATGGACATGCCTTAGAATCTATTCATTGGAAACATAAAACTAAAAAATTTTTACAGTCTTCTAAACTGGGTCCCTGTGTTTTTGGCATATTTCCATTCCCTATTTTACCTTTTTCCTTTTTTTTTAATTTTGTACCTATGGTGCCAGATTGTTTTCAAATCAACCCACTGCCGACAAAATGAGCCTGACTTGCTTAAAATACAAATCCTGAAAGCTCAAGGTCCTGGTTATATAACATCTAAATTTAGTCTTGTAACCCTCCTCCTTTTTGCTTTTATTAAGCGGCTTCCAGTTTTTAGGTTTCCTTAATGTGGAGTTCTAGATCTTGTGTTTCGGTTAGGTGACAAGTCTCCAATTTTGTGTTAAGTAAGGCACTGGCCCTAATTAAAACAACCATTGGTTGTTTACTTGGAATAACTAAGGTCAGAACTCTACTAATTCTGGATTAACAAAGGTTAAACTACCTAGTTAAACTTAAGAGAGAAAGAAAAAAGGCGATGATTGAAGATTATTTCAGAGGAGGTCTTTATTGTGAATTTGACTTGGATTTTGGCTTTTATGAGTGCTTCTCACATTGTATCTGTTCCATCCCATGTGTCCTTTTCCTCTCTTTTTTCCTAATACTGCCATTAGTCATGGTAGGTAAGGTCAGTGAGTTGTTGTTGCTCCAACCAATGTTTCGTGGCATTCCATCATTCTACCAAACTAGCCTTGCAACCATGTTGTCTTGGAGCATTATCCTTCAATCACCAAACGATGTTGTTAGCAAATCAAATCACATACAGACTCCATTTCTTCAGAGAATCTTTGCTTTCTGTGTTTGATTTTGGGAAACTTGTAAATTTTTACAAGCTTTTTGAGTTTTTATATATTATATTCTTCGGAGATTGTCCTATAAATTGGCATGGATTAGTTTCTTTTTTACCCCAAGATCCAAAGATAGCTTAAGGACATTTACACTATCACGGGACTTAATTGTTGCATGGATTATTAAGAGTCTGAGAAGGCAACAAGGAAAAAAAAACCAAATTTTTGTAATTATACGAGCAGGGACAGACTACAAATTCCAGGCTACATGATCTAGAAAATCCACGTGCCTATGCATATCTTCCTGACTTGTTCAGTTGTTCCATATGGAATGCACTTGCTATCATATCTCGTACAGGGTCCTTTGCTCCTTTTATAAGTTCTAAGCCATGGTATAAAGTATAAAGATTAATGAAGAATCCCGGTGGTTCCCTACATGGTTAATCTGATGCAGAATGACAAGTAAATCTAAAGTTGATTGAACAATGGAAAATGCTTAGAAAAGCCCAATTTTCGATAATGGAGTCTGGACACTTTTAAGTGGTGGAAAATGTCAGTGCAATTTCTGATGAACTTGCACATGCCACACCTGATTGACTGATGAGTGATGACTGACTTGGAACTGTAGGGGTGACTAATTAACATATCTTCACTTCAACTCAAAATTAGTAACATATATTTGTTGGGAATTGGGTTTCTTTTTTCTTTTTTCCATTTTTTGTCAATAATTTTGTTCTGGATCAGACAATATTGTCATGGTTTCTTTAAGAAGTTTAACATGTTCAATAAACTTGTCTGATGAAAAAACATTTGATATTATCTATCAGAAATCAGCATTAGATTCATCATTTCCTTCATAAACAACAGGTTCAGCTTGGACTGTGATCTCAAGATCTTTTGCTGAGTATTCCATAGTGGGCTGGGACAACTTGCCAAGGACTTTGCTTCTATACTATACCAATTTTGTGTCCTCTCCTGAAGGTTACTTCCAGACATTGATATGCAACTCTGAAGACTATAGAAACACGACAGTCAACCATGACCTTCACTACATTACTTGGGATATGCCTCCAAAGCAGCACCCTAGGTCCCTGGGACTCAAAGATTTCAGAAGAATGGTTCTGAGCAGCCGCCCATTTGCCAGAAAATTTAAGAGAAATGACCCAGTTCTTGACAAAATTGATCGAGAGCTTCTCAAAAGGAGGAAAGGAAAGTTTCCTTATGGGGGTTGGTGCTCTGAAAATGGAAAAAAACAAAGGGCATGCTCAGGTTTCCAGGGTGGGAATTATGGTGTTTTGAAGCCTGGAGCTGGGTCTAGGAGGTTAAAAACTTTGCTAACAAAACTTCTTTCTGCAAGGGGTTTCGCTAAGAGGCAGTGTAGAATATAGATGAAAAATTTTTTTATTCTCCTTAAATGAATGAGTACCATATAAAGTTGTTTGTTTTTTGCCCTTTTTGAATGAAAAATCATCTGTGTTCATTCTTGTAATGAATAGCAGTTAAATTGCTACCACCTAATCTTCAAGGTAACGTATGAACTAATTTGAGGAATAGCTCTATGGCATTCAACCATACTTAGCTACCTTGTTGAAAAAACTTTAGCTCTTCTACCATGCCCATATCCTGAAAAAAGGAGCATCAAAGAGATTTATGAAAGAAAACAGCAATTTATTCACTAATTTATGAAAAAATCTATAAATCATTTCAATATAACATACTCATATAAACAATTTATAAATCTTTCAAAGGCCCCATTGAAACTGGTTAGGATGGTCTGAACTGCTTCAAGTAAATACCGTAGGTAAGATATTGGAGAAAATTAAACCTAGTAAAGCTGGTTAGTTTGGGTTTAATTTCCTCCAATTCTTACATACAACTTATTCACTAATTTCCTTGAGTTTTAAATTCTTAGATTCTGTATACCAGCCTCGAGAAATAAATAACATTAAGCAAGAATTGTAGATGAGATATTGGAGGAAATTAAACCAAAATAGAGGCATATATGCAGTAATACCAATGAATTTGGTTTAATTCCCTCCAATTCTCACATACAACTCAATACACCACCTTTTTATTCCCTTTGATGTTTGTGGTTCTCACAATATGGCACTGCCCTTAAGCTTGAAATATGATTATATATAAGAAGAGATCAAACATTTCACATGACAAGAAGATAACAAAAGAGTTGCTCAAGATGCATGAAGTTTTGAGTGGCAAAAATGTGGTGAGGCTTTTTACAAGGACAGGGTTGTTGTTTGACTAGCATGTGCTGTACCAAAGGACAGCCAGGATTTGATCTTAAGTTGTGCACTTATGCTTAATTAAAAGAAATTAAAAAAATATATAACTTAAAGAGAGCTTAAAAGGACTAAAATGCCTAAAACCCTTTTCCCTTTTCTTCCTTGTCATCAGTGTTCCTGCGCCCCAGCCGCACCTTTCCTCTCCAAGACTGCAACGTCTTTCACCAGAGCAGTAGATCCAAGGTGGTTCAAACCCACAGGTAAACCCCAAACCCAAACTCAAAGGAAGTAACTTTACATTCAAAGGACGCAACTTTTACAGTCAAGGAAGCAACTTTAATTTCAGAGAAATGAACCCATTATCTCAATTTTTGTTGGCGATTCTCTTTTTTCATAGCTCAGAATACATTTTAGCCGTTTCCATTCATGGGATATCAAATGTTAGTCTCACGTCACTTCTTGTTAGCAAAGAATATGCTTTAGCCATGGTTGTTTCATTGGTTGAATACTATTTTGAAGTACTTTTATTCCCTGGATTAAAAGAACATTTGTGGGTTAGTAACCTGGGGCTTGCAATGGTTGTTATAGGAGAAATTATAAGAAAGTTGGCCATTGTAACCGCGGGTCGGTCTTTTACACATTTGATTAAGAGATACCATGAGGAGCATCATAAGTTGGTTACTGATGGCGTTTATGGATTTGTTCGTCATCCGAGTTATTGTGGTTTCTTGGTTTGGTCAGTCGGTACTCAGATAATGCTGTGTAATCCCATATCAACTATTGGTTTTGCGGTTGTAGTTTGGCAGTTTTTTGCAAAGCGGATTCCTTATGAGGAGTATTTTTTGAGGCAGTTTTTTGGGGCAGATTATGAGGAGTATGCTCAGCGAGTTCCTTCTGGTGTTCCATTTGTGAAGTGAAAGTTCATGGATTATGTTTGTAGGACTGACTTTGATTGACATAAGCTTTTTTAGTGTGATTTGAGATGAGTAATTTGGGGCTTGGAAACCTGAAATAATGGTAGTTATCACAAAATTGGCTATCATGACCATGGTTGGTCATTCACACTTTTGATTAAGCTCTGGTTTACCATGTGGAGGGTCATAGGTTTACTACCAATGGAGTTTATGGATTGGTTCATCATCCAGATTTTGGTGGTTCCTTTGTTTGGTCAGTTGGTCCTCAGATAATGCTCTGTAATCCTCTGTTGATGATTGTTTTGCTGTTGTCATTGGGCAGTTCTTTGTAGAGCGGATCCCTTTTGAGGACTTTTCTTTGAGGCAGATTATGAGGAGTATGCTTGAAGCATTCCTTCTGGGTTTCCATCCATGTGTGGAGTAGGATTGTGTTAGTAGGGGGCTTTGGTTTGCAAAAGCATTTTAAGTGAGGAAAAAAAATCTTTTGAACCTGAAAAGATTGATGGCTAACATGAAAAGATATTCTACACTTCCATTGTTGTTAATTCCCAACATGGTTGCAGGAAGGGGTAACCAACTGTATTCAATCATCTTTTAGGCTGCTTCTGTTAATAACAGTTTAATTATCTTTTGATGATCTTAATTTCAATCATCTGAAAATTAAAAATATTATATCTGTTGGTTCAGGATAATACAAACCTATTTGCTGTGTTATTGTTGCCAAGATAAGATTGTTAGTTATTCCAATACTGCTTCTGATGGTATGAAGTTGATAAAAATGGAAAAGTTCCGATATATATATGTGGATCTTGAATTGAAACAAGATAGCTGGCTAGAGTCTCCCTTGAAAATAGATCCTCAGTGAATGGATATGCTTGAGATACACGAGTTTGCATTGCAGCGGTGGCAAATGGGAATGCATTGTTTAAGAGCCTGAAGAAGCCAGTTTGATGGACTCCAACTTCACCATCTTGTGGAGCTGGATGATGCACTGGACATGATTGCTGGGTTTTGGCACGCATCAGACTTAATCAGTCATCTGGATTGATTAATGTTTTGATCTCTGAGAAAGGACTTAGCATAGTCCCTAATGTTAGTTGATTGCAGAGCAGAGTTCAGCATCAGAAGTATTGTTTTTTTCCTCGTGTAAGATGCTTAAGTTGCCCTTACAAAAATGAAGTAACCTTCATTATTGAAAACATAATTAAAAACACAAGGATCTTCTACCTTTTACTTCTGTTGATGAATAGATCTCAATATCTCAACAGCCTCTCTTTGGGGTTTCTTTCTTTATTATTATTGTTGTTGTAAATCTTAACTACTCCGGGAAGGATTTGTAAGAATTGATCAATAGATTTTAATATCTTTATGAAGGTTCATTTGGACAAGATTTATCATTTTTTTTAGTCTTAACAACTCCTAAAAGAGACATCAAATATCTCCATGACTGTGATAAGTTGATCAAGAGATCTCAAAATCTTTAGTAGCTCACCAAGCAAAAGATTTGCCCGAACTTTTCTTTAATCAATTTATAAATCTGAACAACTCTTTCCAAAAGGATTCTTAACTTCTCCATAATTGCAATGAATTGAAGTCAAGCAGACAAGCAGAATATAAAATTTCAAAGACTTAAGCTGAGTCCAATATGAAGTCTCTGTCAATCAACTTGCGCTTTAATAAATTACCAACTTTTCTCTCATAATCATGGAAAACATGCTCCCATTAATCTGCAATGCGGTCCTAAAAGTTTGCCTTTAATGCAATGCCAACGGTCACCTTGGTTTCTTTAACAACCCATTGTCCCCCAGACAACAACGGTCACTTTTTCCTATCTAATGGAATTCCAACACCAACTTTTCACCAACATAATAAAAAAAGAAAACCATTCATCATTCCATTTTATACGTAATCAAAGAACTAAACAAATAAAACAATATTATGCTAACTAGACTAGAAACCAACCATTCACCAAGAAAGTGCATCCCCACCGTCCGGGATTCTACATGATTTGATCGGAAAGCGACGGTAGTCGCCGGAAGAAGTTGAGCGGAACCGATGGCATGTCATCTCTGAACCTTGGGTGGCGGATGTAGTAGAATCCTGACCCTAACACAAAGACCTTGAATGGTACCACATAAAACAGCAATGACGCAAAGAGGCAGAACACCACGAACATGCCTGTTGCTCTTGGGTCCCTCCAATTGAACAAGGCCTCCAAACGCTCCCCTTGGGCTGCCACGTCACCCAATAGAGTTTGAGCCCGGCCCGCTAGTGCTCGTAGACGATCGTACCGTATACGTATGGTATCCGGCGATCGGGTGGTTGGTAATCCATCAAATTCTTCGTCTAGCTCATCGGGACCCACGGCGTCCACGTAGGAGAGTCTAGGGTCCATGTTGTTTGGGACCCGTAGGCGATAGCGAAATCTCAATGCTAGGATCAAGAAGGCGTACATGAATACTGTGGGGAGCACTAGATGCGGACATAGCACCACCGCCAAAAGCAGCACGTGCAGCAAAACAGTCGTTGGAGGGTGCGCCCACGTGCGAATCCCATCCAACCAGCGTGCCAGAGTTGCCGCATGCGACAAACACCCCACAACTCGAAACCAGTTTGCCTTGCTTCTCCTCATGCTCCACACGTGTGTATCACTGTCCAGCATGAACTGAACCACTTCTTGTCCCAAAGGCGGCTCGGACCTGGCTAGCCTAGCCGTCACTATGCGCATAGCGGTATGGCGCAGTATGTCTTGCTGGGCTGGACCCAATGGTCGAATATAGTGCATTCTTGGTAACAGTGGGCTGCCATAAGCTTGGATTAGACTTAGCCATGACGAGCAAGAAAATCTAACGGCTATCTCAATCTCCCCCATCT